TAAAATTAAAAATGATCCCAAATTGACTCAAACGAAAAAGGAAATGGTTACACAATAGTATATATAAATTAGAAAAGAAATCTGTTATTAAATTGATATTAAAAAAGAATATGTTATTAATAATTAACTAATTGATATGTATTAAAAAAATAATTAAGTGAGAATATATATGACACGAACCCCTTAAAGGAATGTCACAAGATCGAACCCCGGTGTTGGGGGGATTAACTATAGTATATGTAAATTAGAAAAAGTATATGTTATTAATAATTTACTGGAAATATAAAAAAAACCGTTATTAATAATTAACTAATTAATATGTATTAAAAAGAAAAAAAATGTTATTAATAATTAACTAATTAATATGTATTAAAAGAAATAATTGACTGACATCCAAGGAAGAAAGTATTCTCCATATGATGCCTTTTAAATCTGGTACGTGGACCACGAGGGTATTATTCACACTGTTACGGGGGTCATTCACAACCACGAGGATATTATTCACACTTTTGCGGGGGTCATTCACAAATCGTTTAGAGATCCGTGTTATGAATATAGATTATTAGATGATGACAAGGAGTACATTGATAGCATTACTGATTCGAGTTACTGGGCATCCGCGTATGCTTTGCAACGGTTGTTTGCGACGCTACTCCTTCAAGTTCAATCAGTAGGCTAGAGGTGGTGTGGAATGCCGTTTGGGAATTTTCTTGCATAGGATGCACAGCTTTAGCGTCGACGTCTCATGCAAAATCCAGGTATATCGACATCCAATCTATTTATTCGACTTTGTTATTTGCTTATCATTATTTCTAAAATAAACTAATTTGTTGATTTTTTTTTTCTTTTTTGGTCTATGAAGAGTTGGTGTTATCGAATTCGGATAAGAAACAGTTCGCTCTGGTGGAGTTAGAGAAGTTGCTATCTCTGTTGGGGGAAGAGCTTGAAGGACTTTCCAGAAATGCCAATTTGAAACGAAAGCAGCATGGGTTTGACGGAAAACATGTCGATAGCTGAAGAGTTAGTGTATGACAAGGAATCGTTGAAGACAGAGCATGAAAGTAACACAATTGAAGGACGAAAAAAAAAAAGAATGTCTACGACTCTGTGATGAATGATATTGATTCTAATGAAGATGGATTGTTCTTTGTGTACGGTTACGGTGGAACAGGCAATACGTTAGTGTGAAGAATATTATCTTCAAAGATAAGGAGGCGCGGTGATATTGTTCTCAACGTTGCTTTGAGTGAAATAGCATCTTTGCTCTTGCCAGGATGCAGGACGGTGCATTCCGGATTTGCTATACCATTCTCTTTGAACGAAGATTCCACGTGCAATATATCGTGACCTTGCTAAGCTTATAATAAGGAGAAAATTGATAATATGGGACGAAGCAGCGATAACGCACAAACATTGTTTTGAGGCTTTGGATAAAACCATGAGGGATCTTTGAGATCCGCCATACCGGGTAGTGATGAAAACACATTTGGTGGAAATACAGTAATTTTGGGCGGCGATTTTAGACAGATTATTCCCGTTATTCCGAAATCAACTAGACTAATAGTTGTCGCAATCAGTACATGTATGACATGAATACTGCAGAAGGTCGAACATATTTAAGTTGTAACTCTTTGTGTAAGGCCGAATTAGATGGTGAAAATCTATCAGAAGTACACACTCCTGAATTCGTAAATAGTTTGAGATTGTCTGGACTTCCTAATCATTCATTGACATTAAAGGTTGGTGCACCTGTTATGTTATTGGAGAATATAGACCACTCTATTGGTCTTTGCAACGATACGTGCTTCTTTGTCACAAGATTGTCCAAACACATTGTCGAAGCAAGAATAGTTAATGGGACTAATGAAGGAACCAAAGTTCTTATCTCCCGAATGTCTCTCACTCCTTCTGATACAAGATTTCCCTTCAAGTTCCACCGTAAACAATACCCGTTGATGATCGCATATGCCATGACTACCAACAAAAGCCAGGGACAACCAATAACTCACGTTGGATTATTGCTGAAAAATCGGTCTTTAATTACTGTCAATTGTACATAGCTAATTTTTCCCGAGTCACCCATCCTGATGGCCTGAAGATGTTAGCTCTAGACAAAGATGGACAAGATTCTGCTGCTACTACCGATGTCGTCTACAAAGGTGCTTTCAATAATGTGTAATTCCAACCAGTGATATTATGTTTTCTTTTTATGCGAAGATGACAAAATTGGTATATATCTACACAGAAAATATATCTTCCATACAAATAAATTAGGATAGCAAATGATTTCTATAATCGAGTTGCTAGACAACGAGCAAATTTGCATAATTAATACAAATCCTAAACACTGATATATAATTCTCTAAAGTTTCAGCACCGGATTCGTACATATATACATTAGCTATTAATTGAGTAATTATTTGTTCAAATTCAAGCAATGATAATATCATAAAATACAATCGATCGAACTCAAATCTTCAATTGCATTATATAATATTCAATGTTATAATTTATATAATTGTATATCAATCCAAATTTTCTTAAAATATTATAACAAATCCATTCCATGCATCGCACGGGTGAAAATACTAGTTATAATACAAAAGCTATTCCCGAGAGTATGAAAATAGCTAATACCAGACCCCTTTAGGAATGACTATTCGGTTATTTTCGATACAAAGGGGATAGCTCATTCCCAAGAATTACTATTCTCATGACAAAAAGGTATAGACAAATAATGAAATAGATCTATTCCTAGAAAATTTATTTTATTCTTAACTTATTCCATGAACCAAATATGTTGTTAATAAATGTGAGGTATTAAAACATTCTTGTGGGCAAGCTATTACAACATTCTGCATACATTTATGATCAGTAAAGATATATTTTTATCACCCAAAAAAATTCCATTTAATAAGGATAAAAACTTAATTACATTTTCCTTCCTAATTTGTTTGCATAATGTGTTTTTGACGTACAAATGGACTCTAAAGAGGATGGGAGGAACAGGACAACCACTTGGGGACCTGAGGCATGTCTTTCAAGAGTGTAAGGGGTGGTTGGGCAAAGATTGAGAGGTTACCATTAAACATATTTATAGGGAGCAAAACGAGGTTCTTGATGGGTTGGTAAAGCTTACAAATCGATCACAGAGCAATGGTTGGACTGGTTAGCAGATGATTCCCCCGGTTGTCTACCATGTAGTTCTGAATGATAAGGAAGGTTGATATCCCCTAGACTAGGATGATTCTAACGAGAGGTTATTAAGCATAGCATATAAGTTCCCGTTTCTTAATCCAAAAAAAATTAGAAATTAAACCTTTTTGATCTATTATAACTTTATCTAGTTAAACTAGAATTTGACATTTTACACATTTTCTCAACTTCGGATTGGATCAAGTGGGCTATTAACATATTTTTAGGTGAAGATTAAATTGGTAACTTTTAATGATAACTAATAATCAATCTTCCAAAAGGTTGAACCCCAACCCTAAGGGAGTAACTAATAATCAAATTTACACATATTGTGTATTAAAGACATGAAGTTAGAAAACTCAATTAAACTTGCGCGTATTATCTCACAAAAAAAAGTTTGTTGGGCGGAGGATGGTGATGGGTCAATTTCAGTACTCTACCTCTCGAAAATGTGGTGGCGGTATATATAAGGAAATAAAGTTGCGGGCGCTTTTGCTGTGAGTTATAGATTTTGGTATAGTGGTAAACGTTTGGTCCTAACTAGTGCTATTAAAGCTAGGTCACAAGTTTAAAGTTGCGCCTTTGCGGTGAGTTATAGCTTTTGATATAGTAGTAAGCGCTTGACAATATGAGCTTAGTGTAGTGATTTGTCACCTGATTTGACATCACGATTGAAAGTAGTAGTGTGGGGGTGGGACCGGTAGGATAATTGCGCGCTCGTAATTTACCTCTGCAGTGACTCTATGGACAGGATTTTATGGGCTTAGAATTAGTCCGACGAATCTCGAATCACCTAAGTATAAAAATAATAAGGAAAAGGGTCAAATAGGCCCATGAACATTACTCAAGGAGTCAATTAGGCCCTTGAACTTTTCAAAGGTGCAATTAAGCCCTTAAACATATTATTTTAGAGCAATGAGGCCCAAAAACCGGTTGGTGACCTACAATTACAAGTCAAAAGGATTCCAGCGAACTTCCGATGAGCCTCCGACAACATTCCGACAAAAAAACCGACGAAATGTTCTCCGGCGTCATTTAGCTGCCATCTCCGGCGAAGGAGAAGGCAGACCAACTGCTTTGGTCAGCCTTCTCCGTCGCCGGAGAAGGCAACCAAACTGGTTGCCTTCTCTGGCAACTGGAGAAGGCGACTAGATGGGTCGCCGGGAGAAGGGTTGAGTTGCCTTCTCCTTCGCGGGGGAAGGCGACCAAGGCCTTCGCCGGATCTGGTTCGCGAAGGAGAAGGCAAACCAGATCCAGCGAAGGACTGGGTCGCCTTCCCTCCGCGAAGGAGAAGGCAACCAGTTTGGTTGCTTTCTCCGGCGAAGGAGAAGGCTGACCAAAGCAGTTGGTCTGCTTTCTCCTTTGCCGGAGATGGCAACCAAATGATGTTGGAGAACATTTCGCCGGTTTTTTTGTCGGAAGTTCGTCGGAATCCTTTTGACCTGTAATTGTAGGTCACCAATCGTTTTTTGGGTTCCATTGCTCTAAAATAATATGTTTGAGGGCTTAATTGCACCTTTTGAAAGTTCAATGACTTAATTGACTCTTTGAGTAATGTTCAGGGGCCTATTTGACCATTTTTCTAAAATAATATAATATTACCTCTTTGGATGGCATTTTTATTATTAGATTTAAAAAATGTTTATTTTCATTAATTGATTTTATGATGAGATTTAATACAATAAATATGATAATATGTTAAAGATTGAAAATTAGATAATGAGTATACAATGTCACTATGACTCCAAATTTATTTTAGTCAAAGTTAAGGGATGTCCATATATTTATCGCTTGGCGTAGAGAGAGAGAGAGCGAGAGAGGGAGAGAGAGAGAGAGAGAGAGAGAGTTCATCAATGATCAAACGGTCACAAGAGCGAGAGGGGGATTTGTGATTTCTCTCTCTTCTCTGTGAATATATGTGAGGCTTAGGCCCATTTCTCTGGCTTTCCTTCCCATTTCGCGTGCATTTCCCGAACCCTCAAAACCAGACATCGACGAACAACCAAAAAACCCACTTCTTCAAACCCTTCTTCCCTCCTTCCCATTTATCAAGAAAAAAAAGTGATTAATCGAGAGTGAAGCACACAGAAACCTATTGATTATTGCCATTGTTTCCGATAATTATATGTATATTTATTGTATTTACTTTGAATGCTCTAACTGAGATCTTGTCCTTTCCTACAATGTTCTTCACTTTGTAGCGGACAAGGTATATAAAAATCAATTAAAATTCAATTTTCCGGATTTAATTTCAGCTTAGTTTCATCACCATTTCTTTCCCCGGATTTAATTGTTTTTTTTTTGGGGTAACAAAAAAAAAAAGAGTAATTTTCAGGAAAGTGTTGGATTTTCACTTTGATTCCGTTACTTTTCTATTTTCCCATTTTGTATTTTCTAAAAATTGTGGTTTTTTTTTTCCGAACTCTTTTTTGGTTCTTATATTTGGGTACTGAGAGATTGCTGCTCATGCTGGCTTTTTGATGGAATTTTTATTTTATTTTTTTTGGTTTTTAGGGTTCTTGAATCGGATCAGAATTTCCGACTGAGTTAGGGTTTTGATCAGCAATTCCGAACTTGGCCGTTGAATTCGGATTATTGGGTGGTGCTTAGTGGTTATTTACTGGTCACGGTTTCATTGATGGATCGCCCCATTAATGGGAGTGTTCTGTGATCTTCCCGGGCTTCAAGCTGAAAATTGGTGGTGAATTTGGCTCTTCTGAATGCTAATAAATGAATAATACTGGTATTCTATTTTGCTTGTTCTGAAAGGGCATGGAAGAGGACTGTAGATACAAGTAGAACTGTGTAGTGGGAGTGAAGAGAAAGTAAAAAAACAAAAATTGAGAACACTTTGAAGTGTTAAAACATCAAAATCAGATTGGGATATTTTCTTCTTAAGAAACCTTTTAGATTGACTCAGATTTAGTGGGAGCTTTTGCTATATAGCAGCGATTATAGTGCTTTATCTAGTGCTATTGGTGATTACCATTGGTTTTGTTTTTCCATTGAGTTTTGAATAATACTGTTGGAACTTCTGGTGCATCTGGAGTAGAAGGCTTTGGATGAGTGATTCAATGGGGAGCTGAAATGGAGGCCTACTAAGCTGGAAAGGAATGTGGGGTCATGGTGCATGGACAAGAATATAGTGGCTCGTTTGTTCCCTTACTGGAACATTGTTTTGAGAAAGTGATTGGAGGATACTGGTTTTCCAACAGCACTCGTTTTGCCTGTTGTATAATTGTGTGCAATGTCTCGCTGCTTTCCATTTCCACCACCGGGATATGAAAACAAGGCTAGATCAGAAGATGCAGACTTGCTAAAAGAGGTTTGTAAAATACTGTTATCATGGCATCTCTTACTTGCATAGCTCCATGAACTTATAACAATACTATGAGAGGTAACTTTTGGACAATTTGACTGGTTCTTTTGGGCAGCAAAAAATGTTTATGAAGGGTTCTTTTGATTTATATGATCTCTGGGAACATGGGATGCATAACTTAGTTTATTGCTTTCTTGTCCTTAGCTCTATTGAATGCATATACCTCCCCTACTTCCCACTTAAAAGTTTCAAAGCTTTTGTTGAAATGGTAGGTAATACTTTCTGGAGTATTGCTGAGGTATGCTTGTTTAATGCATATGGGAGAAAGACAGATAGTGCAATACTCATCTTTTCTTTAGCATATATCCAGAATATCAGACAATGACGTAATTGTAACATTATGAATTCATGACATTGATATAATTAATGTCTGTTAACCTGTATTTTCAAGTTGGATGTGATTTCCGTGATTCATGAATGTAGTGCACATTGGTCAATCTTTGTTATAAGTGTAGTGCATATTGGTCAATCTCTGTGACAATCTTATAGCACTGTGATTTGACAGTAATGTTATTTAGTCCTTTGAGTAAAAACCATTTTCAGTACTTTTCTAAGGAGGAAGTTTTCCACATGGCTTTTGAAGGCACTAGAGTTGTACATTTTGATATGGTTGCATTTATTTGATTAATCAGCTGTTGCAACTGGTTATTGTTCAGGGTGATGAATCGTTAGACAATGTTTAGCTTGCCTAACTTAAAGTAATGTTTCATGACACTACTGCTTTTCCCAGCATTATCATTTTAATGAGCCAGTTAGCATAAAGTCCACAGGGGAATATACATTGACCAATGTGCTAATGCTGTGCAGTTCTTGATTGATATTGCCTTTTGGATGCACTATGGTGCTATACTGTTGGAATTTGAAGGAACAACTTGCATATAAGCTCCTATATGTTTTTGTTATAAGTTTTGGCTGAATACTGAATTATTATGAAGACTATGAATTATGAATTAATCATCCTCCTGTTGCTATTGATTCCACTTTGTTTTAAATTTACTCCTTAGAATTAGAAAGAATGAAAGTGTGGATCATGAGTCATAGACGAACATCACATAGTACCTTCTAATTTCATCCTTAGAATTGATGAACTCCTCGGAATCAACCTGTCTAAAGGAATGACTTTCTCCTGAAATTCTTTATTTCTCCTGTTACGTATTAAAGTGCTCTGCTAATATCTTAAAATTTGTTGACATCACATAGTACCTTCTACTTTCAACCTTAGAATTGATGAACTCCTTAGAATCAACCTTTTCCCCTGTTTTTACATGCATATTTGTTCACCAAGTTTATACCCCATAAGTTTTTTTTTAATGTTATTTTGGTGATATTTAACGACTAGCCTCTCTCTAACAATCTTGGAACTAGTTGTTAATTTAAATTGAAGTGGACAAATTCCAGAGGCCAAGGATAAAAAAACGTGTCTTTGGAATTAGTTGCTAAGTTGGTTAGAGTTTTAATCTTTTCTAATCTAAATAATTTATGCAAGTCTTAGACCTATAATATTTCACTTGTGAGGTTTATCAAGAACTTAAGATATTTCAGTAGTTTTTTATTTAAATAGGGAGAGAAGTGTGCTAGTTTTACTAGTGTTCTTTGGATCAATGCTTTATTTAACATAGGATGCTCAATAATTTAGTTTCTACATATCTGATATAAGAATGCAATGAGGATCATAGAAAGTTCTTTGGAAAAGACACAGCAATGGAGTTGCACTTATGAAACATTGCTTGAAAGTCATAGAAACTTCTTAGGTGAAATGCTTAATGTGGCATGAAACACTAAATGTCTTTTTTAAAGCTCCATAGGAAAAAGTGAATCCATTTTACCATAACCAGAGTTGGCAGAAACATATTTAGAATGGAACTTAGGGCTGTGTTAGGATATGATCTCTGAGTAGTTGGTGGGTAGTCTTGGCTTTATGCACACAGAGATTCTCTCTCTAGCAGGGAAACGCTTAATGTGGCATGAAACACTAAAAGTCTTTATTAAAGCTCCATATGAAAAAGTGAATCCATTTTACCATCACAGAGTTGGCAGAAACAATATTTAGATTTTAGAACAAAACTTAAGATTGTGTTATGATATGATCTTTGAGAGGGTAGGTTTAGTTTTATGCATCCAGATATTTTCTCTCTAACATGGAAATTTACTCACAGTTCAACCATGAGGGCTAAAAGGATTTCAAAATTTATGATCTGCATTTACTTTGAAGATATGTTGCTTCCTCATTAATCCCTTTCCTTTTTGGAGTTAGGGGATTGGAAGTGGGCAATGAGGCCAATATAAAGCATTTCATGTCAATGTGGATTCTTACATTAGTTGATATTCTTGCTCATAAATTCTTAGTTGCTATATATATATATATATATATATATATATATATATATATATATATATATATATTGATTTTATATTAGTCTCAATTATTATCATGTTCGTGCCTTGTCATTAAGCACATCTCCTATCCCTCCATGATAGGCATGCTGATGCATCAACGTAGTGGGGGAATTATTTTATCTGAAAATTGTTGCTGGAAGTTTTAATCTCAATGCTTGCATCTTTCATGCATGTCTAATTTCTTAAATTGCTCACTTAGCAATTATGGATATACCCATTTAGCCAGGTTTAAAAACGCATTTTTGAGCTGCGCCTTAGCTTGAGGCAAGTGCAAGTAGCACCAGGGCGTGCACCATTGTCACAGAACAAAGTGTGTACCCTTTGTGCAGGAAGGGGCGAACGGCACACGCCTTGGTGTGCGCCCTTGAGGCTTTTTGAGGTGGCGCAGTGGTGTGAGGGCACTTCAAACACTAAGCCGAGGGGATTTCAGCCTAGGCAGCTTTTTGTCGGTCAGTTGACTAGGCTCCCAACTCGGCTGAGTGGTTGTTTTCTTTAATTCCCTTGCCTCTACGTCGTCACCTGCTCGACTACTCTTCCATATTCCTGGAGCTAGGTACTCAACTAACAGTCGGACATACAGGCTAGGAGTCTCACATGGATTATTGTCAAGCCTCTATTATTATGTAGCTTTCTTGTGGCATGTTGTTGCTACCTCTATTTCAGATAGGGATGGCTATTTTCATGTTCGGTTTTTATTTCCACATGAATTCTGGAATTTTGATTTTGCCTTTAAAGATACATGAATTGTTTTGCCATATATGTATCCATCTCAGTGAAGTGGCGTGTGGTAATTTCCCCATTTTGTGTTTCATTTTGGACTTCGGTTTGTACCTTTAGCTTCTCACTGTTATATACGTTGCTTTAACTATGTCTCTATTTGCTTCTGTTTCAGGAAAAGCGCAAAGAAAAAAAACATAAAAAGGAGAAGAAAGACAAAGAGAAGGGAGAAGGTAAAGAGAAAAGGGAGAAAGATAGAAGTGATGGGAAACACAGAGAAAAGAAAGACAAAAAAGATAAACACAAGGACAAGGACAAGGACAAGAAGGAAAAGAATAGGGACAAGAAAAGGGACAAAGATAAAAGCAAAGATAAAGATAAGAAAAGCATTTCCGAGGAAGCGAAAGCTGCTGGGCAACCTGGTACTTCTAGTACAGAAACTGATAAGAAAAATGAACATTTTAAGAACATTAATTCTGAGGAAAAGAAAAACAATGTTCAGTTACAAGTCCAGCATGGACAGAAGGCAATTCAAGGTAGTGGTCCTGATAGAGAGACAGAGGAATCAAAATTTGTGCAGGAGTTGGGTAGGAGGATCAGAGATGAAGAGAATGGAAAAGGAATCCAATTGGCAGGAAGATTCTCTGCTGAGTGGAAGAGGGATGAAAGGATTGACAGGGTTGGGGTCAAGGTTGGTAGTAGTTTGGCTGAAGACAAGGGAACTAACATGGAGAGGAGTATTGATAACAAGAAGATGGATGTGCAGGCTACCAGGAACGAATCTAGATTTAGTGGTAATGCAATTGTCCCTAGCATCATTGGGGCCAGCAAAAACAAAATTGAAGGGATGCCTAGGGTTGGGGTCAAGGATTCCGGGAATTTTCCCGAAAATAAGGAGACACATGTTGAGAAGAGCCTTGATAATATCATTGGGGCCAGCAAAAACAAAATTGAAGGAATGCCTAGGGTTGGGGTCAAGGATTCTGGGAATTTTACCGAAAATAAGGAGACACATGTTGAGAAGAGCCTTGACAATAGGAAGATGGATGCACATCCAATCAGGAATGAATCAAATTTTAGTGGAAATTTGGCTGTCCCTAACCTCACAGGGTTCAGCAAAAGTAAAGTTGAAGGAATGGGCAGACCACTGGAAGAGAATAATGAAAGGAAAGAAGAAAAAGAGAAAACTAAAGAAAGAGGTGATGGAAAACTGGGAAGCAAGAATAAGGATAAAAATGGAGATAAGAAAAGGCACAAGAAGGATAAAGGCCAGGAAAAGGAGAAAAAAAAGGAGAAGAAAAAGGAGAAATCAAAGGAGAAAAGTGAACACAAGGGAATTGAGAAAGATAGATTACGGGACATCAACAAAAATGAATTTTCTGCAGTTAGCAGTAATAAAGCTCCAGCACTTTCAACAGACACCAATGCTGGTACTGCTTTTGATGTAAATCTCAAAAAGAGAAAACTTGTGACAAATGGTTCTCTTTCTGGTGAGTTCTGTTGCACAAAACATACAACATTCAAACTTGATACTTATTCACTAGCTCTTAACATAAATGATTCATGGAAAGCTTTGGTGGCAAGTCTGTTCTGCTTCTGGCCCGAATTCCTATGTTACATTTCCTGCTAGAAGTTCTTAGCCAGCATTTTTCTATATTTATCCTATGCATTTCAATGAGCATATTCAGATGTACTTGACCTCTTGGTTGGCTGACTGGTTGTGTTGCTTTTTGTGTGTTTTTTTTTTTTAATCCTGTCTTGCAGAGAATGAAACTAGGCCTGTTAAAATGCCTAGGCCTGCTTCTCATGAGCCAATACAGAATGGAAATAAAGTTGAAACTCTTCAAGTATCCCTCCTTACATCAAATAGGCAAGAAGGTGCTTCTGAGCTTAAGGTGGTTAATAAGGTGCAGAGGATTAATGGAGCAATACATGGTCAGCCATTGTCTGTTCCTAGACCAAAGCCTTTGCTGTCAACTACTGGTTCTGGTCAAATTCCTGAAACATCTAAGAAGCCTACTCAGGCTGATCAAATTGCCGAAGCATTTAGAAAACCCCCTCATACTGACCAAATTGCCGAGGTGTCTAGGAAACCTCGTGCTAATCCAATTGCTGAAGCATCGAAGAAACCTCCTCATACTGATCTGATTATTGAAGCAGCTAAGAAAGCCCCCCATCCAGATTCCAAGTATATGAGCCAGATACTCACCGTTCCCAAAATGGAAGAGTGGATTGAAAGTGATGACAATGAATGGTTGTTTGGACGCAAAAATCCTTCAGATAGGAAGCCAGGGGTGGCGGATTCCAATGGGGTCAATGAGGAACTACAGGTATGGTCTGAAGCTCGGTATATAGAATCTACAGATGTTTATGCTCTGCCATATGTTATTCCTTATTGAATGTTGGGAGTTGGGTGCAATCTTATTGGGGAGGTCATCAAATGGTGGTGGCTTGTCAGTCATCCAGAAGAATATCAGGCTTGGACATGAATATGCTGGGCTTCTTGGTTGCACTATTTTGCTTCTGTTGCAGTTATGTGGTCAGCTGCACTTCTGTGTCCATGGTTCTGGTTGTGGAATGTCCGAGAATTTATGCCCTAAATTGAACCGCAAAGTTGAATTTTCCCAAGGTCCCGGTTGGCGGGCGCCATAGAGTGTTCACTGATATCCACAAGCTTATGCAAATTTATTCCATTTCTTGAAGGCTCTCAGGGGGTTTCTTTCTAATTGAGTGTGAGAGAAAGTTGAGCTGTGGTCTTTACACCTCCACTAAAAATTTTGATTTGTAACATAGAACTTTATAGATGTAAAATAGAGGAAAAAGAAAGCAGTAGTTTCAATTGATTTAATTTAGTTTTCAAGTTTTTATTTTTAATTTAATGAAAGCAGTAGTCTGAAGTTTTCAAGTTCTAAAACCATCTTGCTTTCTTCTTATTGTACATTGCTTTTAGTCTGTGCTTCCTTTTTTCATATGTGCCAGTATTGGAACTATAAACTGGTTTGATGTATAGCTTTGGCCAATGCATATTTTGAATAGCTCTACCCACAGGCTTATGATGGATTGATTCATCACACAGTCCACTCCATCTTGGTTTTATCTTAAGAATTTTTTTATCCTAAAGAGAGATTTGGTTTGATGTTATGAATAAATATTTGATGTGTGGTTGATTGATTGTGAAAATTATAAGTTGCAATATTGGTATCACATGAAGAATTGAAGATGCCTTTGGGGGTTTAGGGAGGGAGGGTTCAGTTTGATCAAAGACGTATAGAGGCTTTAGATTGAACTTGATTCAGAAGCGGTTGTGAATGTTATTGAGGGAGTTACTAGTTTGCGACATGACTAGAAGCTCACCAAGAATGTTCTAAGGGGATCACCATAATCTTTTCTGGTTTGATATTACGAATAAATATTTGATGTCAAAATTATAAATTGCGATATTGATATCACATGAAGAACTAAAGGTGCCTTTGGGGGTTTAGGGAGTGAGGCGCTTAGCTTGATTTAGGAACATAGAGATGGAACTTGATTTAGAAGCGGTTGTGAAAACTTAAGGAAGTTACTAGTTTGAGACAAGATCAGGAGTTACAACAATATTTTATCGATCACCAGAATCTCTTCTGGTTAACTTCAGATTGACGAGTGGTTGGGGAACTTGAGGAATCTCCTCTTCTTGGATGCTTTGGCACTTCATCTCATAGAGTTAGGATTTAATTTGGGTCACCCGGGCTTAGCTCAATGGTTTAATGGGCAGTATTTGGGAGAAGGATTTAATTTGGGTCTCTTAGTTGCTAATCGTTATGCCATGAAACCGTGTCCACCATTCATGGTGAACACGGTCCCAACGGTAACGGTGCATCGTTATTATTATTATTATTTTTTTAAATTAATCGCGTGACTTTTCTTCTTCATTTTCATATTTTCGCGGTTTCACTTTCTCTTCGCGCAAGTTTCTTCAACATTCATAAATTATGAATGTGCAACATGGATTTATGAATGTGCAGTTATGAAATTATGAAGTTTCTTTTATGAGATTATGAATTTTCTGTTTTGAAATTATGAATTTTCTGTTATGAGATTATGAATTTTCTGGTATGCGATTATGAATTTTTTGTTATGAAATTATGAATGTTCTGTTATGAGATTAAGGATTTATAGAAAATTCATAATTACATAACTGTAAATTCATAATCTCATAACAGAAAATTCATAATTTAATAAATGTTTTTCTTTTATGCGATTATGAATTTTCTGTTATGAGATTATGAATTTACAGTACATTCATAATTTTATAACAAAAAATTCATAATCTAAACAAACGCGCGTCGTTAACAGCATATTAACTAAAAAAAAATTCGTAAAAACGGTGTCGTTTGGACTCGTATTCACCATTCATGGTGAACACGTTTTCAGGGCATAATTTGCGCTTAGCTGCACCAAAAAAAAAAAAAAAAAAAAAAAAAAAAAAACAGAAAAAGGAAAAAAACCAGAAGGCACCTTGCCTAACCCTCCTTTATAATTTCATTGTTCGATTAAGACGACAATTATACATAATAATTTCAATGAATCAATACAATAATTTTTTGTCTTAAGACACTGTTAGAATTTCTTTTTTTTTTTTGGGAAAGTGATACTTTTTTCCCTTATATTATATACTTATAGGACTTTTCCCTCCTGAATTATTCATGTAAGCATATTAGCCTCCTCAATTATTTTAAAAGTGGCGATTTTTTTCCCCTAATATATCAAATTGTCATCTCTACCCTTAAAGCAAATATTTCATTTATTTTTCTTATATATGAGAGATCTTCTTATATAAATTGTTTAAAATGTATAGTATAATCTAAAGGGTCACATTTGTGTGAGACCGATATGTGAGACGAGTCTGATCAATATACAAATGTAATACTTATACTAACAAATGTAATACTAATTAGCTAGAATAAAGTGTATATTACTTATAAGGGAAAACGTAATATTTTTATGAACAAATGTAATACTTTTAATTTTATCAAAAAAATTATATTTTTCCTTATAAGTAATTCATTACTTATAAAGTTGAAATTATTAATTATAGATAAGTGAATAAAATACTCCGTATGATGTGTATGAGTGTGTAGAAGTAGGGCTCACAAAAATGGAGAAAAATGAAAAAGGATTTGAGAGAAAATACAAGAGTATATTATATGATGATGTTGAAAAATTGGGCCCACAAAATAGAGAGATAGCGGAGAATCATTGTGAATGCCTCCTAATTTTTTGTCTCTCGATACTCTCTCATCCATGCTTTTAGAGCATCCACGTTACTTTAGGGCATCCTCAATAGTGGGAGTTTTGGTGTAGTTTTTGAACAGTTTTTGTAAGTGTGATTAGTAAAGAGAAAATGAGATGGAAAAGAAAAAACAAAAAAGGAAAAAAAAAACTAAATTCTGAATAAAAAAAAATGAAGTTGAATTACGCGCCTAGGCGGGCGTGTGCACGTGAGAGTTGCGCCTCACATGCACACATGAGGCGCACCTCTTTCTCCCCACTATGGGACACACAGCACTGCAAAAGCTTGGGTGCTGGCAGGATACACCCACTCACTCTCTCTCCTCCCTTCTCTCTCTTCCAACAAAGCAATTCCACATGAAAAACTTGTGCAAAATTCTCTTAATGGGGTTGCTCTTTGAGCATCCACAATAGTGGAGTTATTTTAGAATTTTTGAGGAATTTTTGTAAGTGTGATTAGAAAAGAGAATATGGGAGGGGAGAAAAAAAAAAGAAAAAAAAATTAAAGCAAAAAATATTTTATATATATATATATATATATATATATATATATATATATATATATATATATATATATATATATATATATATATATATATATATATATATATATATATATATATATATATATTGGGAAGGGATCAGGTGCATTTGTAGCTTCCGGTGCGGATGTGCGGTGGATTAATGTGCGTGAGGTTTATACTTAATGTGCGTGAGATTTGTACTCAATGTGCCTGAGATTTGTACTTAATGTGCGTCATGTTAATATGCGTGAGTTTTGTACTTAATGTGCTTGAGTATTGTGTTTAATGTGCGTGAGATTTGTGCTTAATATGCGTGAGTATTTCAGAATTACGAGCTCAGAAGGAAGCAGAACAGAAACTCACGCACATTAACGCCCAAGCATCTTGTTACTTCTTCCTTCAATTTGGCCATGGATTCTGGATTATCAGCTACCTTCAGTGCAGTTGAATGTTTATATAGATGACGCACGCACAGTAAAATTTGCACAGCAGCTAAATGTTTATTTCTGTTGTATTATTCCCATAATTCTTAACCACCATAGCTCGCCTCCGCATCATCATCATCAGGAGGGGGGCAATGGCTACTGGGATGTGGAAGAAGCTGACATCAATATTTTCTGCTGCATTTTACACATTCACGCACATTAATTAAGTACAAATCTCACGCACATTAATCCACCGCACATCCTGCACGAGAAGCATTCATCCGCACGGGAACCTTTCACTATATATATATATATATATATATATATATATATATATATATATATATATATATATATATATATATATATATATATATATATATATATATATATATATATATATATATATATATATATATATATATATATATATATATATATATATATATATATATATATATATATATAAGTTGATTGTCAGGTGCGCCTAGCACTGCACGCGCCCAGCGACCGCAATGTTGACAGCCACGCATGGCTGTCATAGTTGGGCAAATTTTATTGTGGGTCCCACATTTCTGAATTATCTCCACCCCTTGCAGATGCACCTAATCTTCTCTCTCCTACCCCCTTCTCTCCTCCATTTAAGCATCCACTTTCTTAAAATTTGTGAATAAACTTGGTATTCTTCTCTAGTGTAGATGCTCTTAGCTTTTTCACGGTTTTTGATGATCCAAGTAGGAGAGAGATGAAAGAAATAGAAGAAGAAAAAATAGGGGAAAAAAAAATATCAATGCATTTGACCATTCTGATGCCCAAAAAAAGGTAAGGTTTCACGCTCTAGCTGGCGCGTCCACACGCCCGGCTGGGCGTTTGTTGTGCGCAAAACGTGCACAACGGCTCTCTTTCCTCATTTATTTCTCTTCTTGGGACCTACAAAAAAACCGTTTACTTGCATGAGATCAAAATACATTCTCTCACCTCTTTCTCTATCATTCACTTCATCATAGGTCCCACAAAAAACTAAGAAAAATAATCCACTAGTGTGGATGCTCTTAGTTAGAAAAAAGAATGAATTTCACTTTTGGTTTTACAATGGTTTTATTTAGATATTGAAGATCTTTTCTTGGGATGACGATTTTACTCCTAAAAATATAAAATCAGACAATATTTCACCGTCAATTTAACTGAAAAGACCAAAACTGATAGATATAACTTTACAAAGTTAGGCACCAAAACTGAAAAAATTTAAAATTTTACACCGAAAGGGATAAGATCTCAAAAGTTGTGAAACCAAAAGTGAAATTAATTCTTATAAAAAACTCAAAAATTCTACAGCTAGAGATGTCCTTATTAGAGTTGTCGCGCTCTGGTGTTTTGTTAATTATGTTACCAACAAAATTAAATTTTATTTACACACGACATTACACACATATTGAAAATTTTAATATTCTTCTTCTCCCAAAATTTTAATATTCTTAAATGATTGAATATATGTTAATTTGTACTCTATCAATCCACTTTCAATTAAGTAAAATTGTGCTGTATAGTAAATGCCTAGTACAGCATGCAGTAATGAAAGAATCATACGGAGTAATATATTTTCTTCGAATTTGGAGAGCAAAAACCATGCAAGTCGCTTGATCAATGTACTTAGGGTCTCCTATTTTTTCCCCGAGTCTCATCAGAAAATTGTAATCATAGTATTTCGCCGGGAGATCCGGGAACCTCGCCCAAACAATGACACGTTCA